CTGTCCGCGACTCGACAGATGTTCCGAGAGGTACTCGCGCGTCGCGCGGTGCCTACCGGCCGCTACCCGCACAGCTGCTCCGGTGCTATATACACGCGCCGTACTGGTTACTTAACGCGATTATTAAAAGCGAGCCTAAAAGGGGGGGGGGGATTTCTGACAGCCCCGCCACCGCTGGGAGAACATTTCAATTAAAATGCATCCAACGGCAGATGCCGCGTCCACATTTCCGAATCGGCATGGCCAGGCGATCGCCAAAATGAATTACTTTCGTTTCCTTTTTGGGGTTTTTGAGAGGGTATCGTGGAATTGCCTGCTTCACGCCTGGATTGGCGCGGGTTCATTTCACCGCGCGCGCCGGGACCCCGAAGGAGAGCCGCGCAGCGCCACGCCGCGCCACGCCGCGCAACGGTCGGCGCGTGATTTCCAAGGGGTGAACAAACCCTGCGGCTCGGCGGCGGTGCACAGCCAAAATAATAGTCATCCACCCGGAACGAAAAGTCCAGAGCGTTATAAGATAAAACCGACCGGATAGAAAGCCGCCGCGCACGGCGTACAATGCAACCAACAACATTTTTCAACTCAGTAATGTAGTGCCAATCTTGTTTGACGACTGCTCATCAGTTCGGACTCCCAGTCCTAACGCGCATAAGAAGGCGCGCAGCAAAGCGGTGAGCTGAACGCCAGCGCCAGAGAACCCCCCTTGCACACACGAGGCTTTCCGTCACAGAGTGCGGCGCCCGATCAAGGCCGCACCGCGATCATCAATGAGTGGCGACAGGTCCGTCACCTTGGCAACATTAAAGGGCCGACCCTTTCTCCTACTACTGTTCCCCCCTCTTCCCCTCCCCCATCCCACGTGTCCACGCCGGGGAGGGGAGCGGTGCGCGCACGTGCCAGCCCTAAAGCAGATGTGTGGTTTCGGAGCGGGGGTGGGGTGGGGAGGACAGCAGCGGCCGAGCATAGGATTTTTACGAGGGGAGCGATAGTTTTCCCATGCAAACTGGTTGCTTCGGGCGAATCCT